CATGATTCTGGGAAACTGAATTTTTCTAAATTTTAAATTTTTGAATATTTTCGTAAAATGAATGTAAAAATCATATGTTTGAAAATTAAGATTCCCGGACAAATAAAAATTTCTCCTGTACCAAATACCATATGGTCTTAGGAAAGAGAGAGAAGAAATCAATGTTAATTTTAATCATTTGTGAATTTAAATTTTATATCTAGTATAAAAGCGTAAGTAATGCTGAACTTTTTTTTTTTGGGTCTTTTGATTTTTCGATAAATAAAGAAAAAAACTTTAAATATTTTTTAAAATGAGGGTTAACAATTTACATGTAAAAAATAGAAGAAATTTAATACAATTGTCTCCCACTAAAAGATGTTAAATTCTTTTCCCACCTATATCAACTTCAAATCTCGAAATTTAAAAAAAAAAAAAAGAATATTAATGAACCTGTCTGCCACTAATTAATGCTGAACTCTTTTCTTTGGGTCTTTTGGTTTTTCGATAAATATAAAAAAAGCATTCAATGATTTTTAAAATGAGGGCTAACAATTCCCATGTAGAAAATAATAGAAATTTAATACAGTTGTCTCTCACTAAAAGATGTTAAATTCTTTTCTCACCTATATCAACTTCAAATTTTGAAATTTCAAAAAAAAGTGGGATATTAATGCATATGTCTCCCACTAATTAATGTTGAACTCTTTTCTTGGGATCTTTTGGTTTTTTTTTATAAATATGCAAAAAAGCATTAAATATTTTTAAAATGAGAGTTAACAATTCTCATGTAAAAAATAATAGAAATTTAATACAGCTGTCTCTCACTAAAAGATGTTAAACTATTTCCCCACCTATACAATTTTGAATTCTAAAAAAGAAGTGGGATATTAATGCACCTGTCTACCACTAATTAATGCTGATTTTCGCACTAACTATTTAGAATTATAAAAACATTATTAATGTTTTTGTTATTAATAATAAAAATGTATTAAATTGAAAAAAGAATACAAACCAAAAGAGCACTAACAGTACTTCTCTGCCTGAATCGCAAAATGACATGCATACTTTAAGACTCTTCCTGAATCGCAATAACAACGCCAAAAATATTATAAGTCAATTTTTTGGTAGGCTATTATAAGTCAAATTAAACTTTTTATTAACGTAGACATTTACTTATTTTTTATTATACGTCAAATGCATTCTTGGGGAGGGGGCTGAACCTTTAGCCATCACTGCTCCCCCGCACTCCGGATTAGTCCCATAGTCGGCTCAAAGAGTCGAAGCTCGTGGGGATACTGGAGGGAGCCAACTCGCCTCAAAGAGGTAATTAGGGTTGGGTAACTCAAAAAAAAAAGATAAAATCATCGGACATTATAAAGCCAAGAATTATTGCGAAATATGATTTATCATTTACGTAGACATTTATTAACGTAGACATTTAATTTCAATAATTTATTCACATTTAATTTCGCTAGAGAAATAAAAAGAAAATAAGAAGGATATACAAAGGATACATAATAAAAGTCATACATAAAATAAAAAATAAAAAATTAAATAAGAAAAGGAAAGAATGTATAATAATATATCTTTTTCGTTATTATGGAGCCACAATTGTGTGATGCATATTCAAATAAAAGAAAAAGAAAAAGAAAAAAAGGGAAGCTTCAAAATTGAAAAATCAAAAGAGGGTAACCCATATCTTCTTCAGTCTTTCATAGCTTACAACAGCAAGTTTAGCTCTTCTCTGAAGATCTGCAAACTCCACATGCGCTTTCAAATAGTATAATAGTTGAAAGTGAACCCACCGTAAGGACGACAATTGTTCACTTGTTTTCTCGCATTGAACATTGAGGACATATGCTTCCAAGCTCGTTTGCTGAACAAATGATCATCAAATCTACTTACATGACCAACCCGCTCTAACAAAAGATAAACAAAATACCGATCCATCTCAGGTTCAAGATTGATTGCAAGAGATGAATTAGAAGAATTGAAAGAAAAATGAGAGAGAAGTGGGAAAATAAAAAACCATAACAGATGTAGATATGTAGATCAGATCTAAGAAAAATATCCTATGATTTTACCTTCGATTAAAAAAAAAAAATCTTACCGGTGCACTGAGAAAATGAGATGTGGTGGCAGTATTATGAATCATTCCATCCTGAAAAATGAATAAATCAGTCAGTATAAAATTTATGAAAATGAACTTATAGGGTTTGTTCATAAAGAAACAGAAAATTATACCAATAGAACAATCCCTACACACGTAAACGAAAAAACAAAATGCAAGCAAGACCAAAAAAAAAAGAAGTAACACTTCCCTATTTATAGACAAAGTCGTAATTTATTTATTTAAAAAAAAAAATTAACTTGTAGAATACACTTCACCATTACCAATGCAGAAAATAGTGGAGGGAACTTAATTGTTAGGTGACTGATTTCAATTTCAATTAATACACTTCTCACCCATTTCAAATTTCAATTTTGAATTTTGAATTGAGAACATCATTAATACAGCTGTTTGCCACCAAGTATTTTATAATGCTTTAAAAGAAACTCTCCCTCCTTTGTAGAATTTTTTTATTCACGAAATAAAAAATATTTTTAAAAGAAGTAACTTTTCAAACTATCTCCAGTGTGAACACAAAGCTGAGAATTAAGGAAGAAGTGACACGTCAGCAAAGTTTCCAAAGTTTGGTTCTCCTTACTATATATTAAGATTTCGCACTAAAACTTGAATTGTATGACAGATTTTTTTTTGTCTCATTATTTTCTGTCCCTTCTTCCAAATTGCTTAGCATTTGGCAAACATCTACTTCATGTGAAATAAACAGGTAATTAATTGGCAATACCCAGAATTTGAATTCCAAAATTGGCTAAGCGTGAGCATGCTTGTGGTGAGCAACACATTACAATTATGGGCCAAGTTTCTGGTGTAATTGAACTCAATGGCAATATCAAAGCTCTAAAGTGAAGAAAAACTGCAGAATAGGTTACCTAACAACGTTGACGGCGAACGTGGCTTGGATGAATGGTGGCTGAATGAATGAGTTACCTAACAACGTTGTCTAAAAAATTAGAGGTTGATTCCATCATCAGAGACACCATTCACAAGCTCCTTGTCCTCCGATCAGAGACCCGACACTATTGGCTCCTGCTCCTCTGTCCCTCTCAACGCCCTTGACCCCTTTTACTTAGACCCTAAACCACTACACACTGTCCCAGCCTGTGCAAATTCCCTCTCTCTTCCTTTCCTTGTTTTTGCTCAATGTTCCCTAAACTCAGTTTCACTTTCAGTTCGACGACTAGATCTTTGCAATCACCGTCTCCAACTCGACGACTCGCAGAAGTTCAAAACTTGTTCCTCTTGGGGGTTAAAAAAAAAACAACAAATTTAGTGCCGTAGCGGGGGGCACTTGTTAAGTAAAAAAATTATTTTAATTAATGCCGTAGAGGGGGAAGTGCGACACTTATTCAAATAAAAGAATATTTTATTGTGTGTTGTGGGAGATAGGGGACGACACTATGTCTGAAAAACAAAAAAAATAAATTACATGAGTGCCGCGGGGAGTGGCGGGCATCATTTAGAGACGCAGGGATCCTCTACCGGCACTTAATGACCCCATCCGGTAATTTTTCCCGTTCAGATACCAACTTTGTACAATTAAACGCAAAAAATACTAAACTGGTCAAAGAGCCTGTGTTGATCTAGTATGGTTCATATAAAACGAGAGTAAAATAAATTGATTTATTTTTAAAATATGAATCAGGAAAGGGATAGCTCACTATTTTATTACGATGGGTTGGCAAGTTAATTTATCAAACTAACAGAAAAAAAAACATTAATTAGCCTTAAGAGTTCTTCCTATAATGACGTTCTAATTAGATTTTAGGATTTGATTTGTTCTAAAGATAATATATTTTATTCATGAGAATCTCAATTCTTGAAAATAGTATAAAGACTTAAACTAGAAACTGGATTAGTAAAATCAGTGTTTTAAAACTTGGACCGATCATCGACTCGGTCAAGGTATTGGTCATTGGATCATTGGTTTAACCAGATTCTATCGGATATATTGTTCATATATCAAAAAAATATAAACATATTACTTATATTAAAAATTTACGGAAGAAAACTGTGAATGATGAAAACTTCTCCATATTTTTTCAAGCTTAACGGCTTATACTGTTACACTGTAAAAAGTCAAAAAGGATTGTAGTTTTCATTGCTTAAGGCCAAAGTTTATGTAGGTGTTTATCTAATCACTATTGCATGCTATAGACTTTCGAACAAATGATGAGATGCATTGTATTAATAAAAGCAAAAAGTTTCGTAACACCCTTAGGGCCCGTTTGGTAGGAGGATTTTTTTTGTTTTCCCGGGATTCCTTAGTTGGGTAAATAAGACTGCATTGTTTGGTACAGACTTTTTAAAATTTTTCCGGGAATCTGATTTTCTCGGAATTTTATTTCTTGTGTAATTTTATTTGAAAAAATCATCCAGGAATACCATTCAAAAGGTGGTATTCTAGGATTTTTATGGCAAGGAAAAATTTAATATAACTAAACATAGTATCAAGAAAATTAACCCAATATTTTCAGAAATATGTTAGTCTACCAAACCACTTTTTGATAACATTATCAGAAAACTCATTTTCTCATCATATTCTTAGAAATCGTGATTCCTGGATAAAAAAAATTTCTCCTCTACCAAACGCCCCCTTATAGCCACCAGAAATGACCATAGTCGTTTTCAACCAACAACAAAAAATGTCAAACTCCTTGTCATCAACATGACAACATCAAAGAAAAAGCAAACAATAATTTCGCATGAACTAAAACAGAGTGGCGCCAAAATTTATAACCTATGAACTAAAAATATAACAAAAAAAAAAAAACATAATGACCAATTCAAATTGAATTTCGTATGACTCGCCGAATCACACCTGCCGAGTCAATTGGTTCAAATAGAATTAATTGCACAATCGATCCAAATAAAAACTTAGACCTAAAAATCTACCGGGTCACCCTGACTCGGCTGGAGCGAGCTAGTTTTTAAAATAGTAAGTAAAATGATTAGAATAACAAAACCTCACGGAGAAAGAAGTTTGGGCTTAACCCCTCTCTCAATTTTCAAATTCACCGCCAAATGAAAATTCCCGCCGAAAAAACGAGGTGGGAAAAACAAAATGTAACTTACTGGCAATGGTGTCACTGAACGAGAAGCTGTAGCAAAAATGGAGAATGGGTTGATATCGGTGGATCGTTGGGCGGAGGGAAGCCACGTTTACTTCCTTACCCACCTCCACTCCGACCACACACAAGGCCTTACATCCTCCTGGTCTCACGGCCCTCTCTTCTGTTCTCGCCTCACCGCCAAACTCCTCCCATTCAAGTTCCCCAATTTCGACCTCTCCCTCCTTCGCATCCTCGAAATCGGAACCTCCCACACCCTCTCTCTCCCTTCTCCTTCCTCTTCTTCCTCTCGCACCACCATCCAGGTCACTGCCATCGACGCCTGTCACTGCCCCGGTACAACGCCGCCCAACTGTTTGATTTATGTTCTGTGTGACCTTTTTTTTATTTTAAATTTCGTGTTTGTTTGGCTTCGGAATAGGTTCCGTTATGTTGCTGTTTCGCGGCGAGTTTGGTTGCGTGCTTCACACCGGGGACTTTCGTTGGGAACACACTTGTGAGAAGGCGAGGAAGGCCAAGGACATGCTTCGCTGTGCTCTCAAGGATGATGGTGATGGGGTCGATGTTCTGTACATTGATAATACGTACTCTAATCCTACATATGATTTTCCAACTCGCAAAGTTGCGGCTCAGCAGGTACACTACACCTTCCATCCTTAATTAATGTGTCTAAGCGCAATTAGACATTGTATGTATGGTTCTATAATAGCCAAGCTTACCTTGCATTTGTTAGAGAGTGATGATTCGAAGCTATGCCAAGGCTAATCTTCATTCCTAATGTGTCTAACTCGATTAAAATGCTCATGTAATTCTGGGTGACTAACTCACTAACCTTTATTACATGCAAGTACTAATTAATAAAATGCTTGATAACTCATCCTCGATACCGAACAGGGGGAAAAAGAAAGATGGGTATATCTTATAATGAGTATTGGTTTTGAGATTATTTTCTTTTTTCCTTGGATAGAAATATTGTGACATTGGTGTGAATTCGGGAATACCAAAGTTCAGGAAAGCATTGCTCATTATCAATTTGTCATGAATTTCATGGATACTTGATACAACTCTTCCTAAATTTATGGCTTACCATAGGAAATGTTTCAGAGAATTACAATCCCTTAACAAACTTAATGCTGACCTGGCTGCCGAGTCACCATCGGTTGAGGGGAATGTGAACACTGCTGACGCACCATCAGGTGAAGGGAATGTGAAAAAAGGTCAGAAGGGAGAGAATAAAGAGAGAAGGAGTCAAGGAGTGTGGTATCTTTTGGAACCATTTGGAATACTGGGCTTTTGGGAGAGATCAAGGGCTCTCCAACTCCTCTGAATCTATCTTTTATTTCCTTTTATTTTCCATTTGTGAATGTTAATCTTTCTCTGAATGTTAATCTGTCTCTGAAATTCAGGTTCATTTTGTAAATATCAATTTGTATCCGAAATTCTGGTTCAGTGTTATTACAGAACATATTACAGAAGTTGGAATACAATGTCATTTTCAGTTTTACATACTTTTCTGGAAATTGTCGTTTGAGTTGTTACAGTACTCTAGAATTTTTTCCAAGTTTTATGTGTTTGTTAAACCAAATGTCAAACTTTACGAGAATTCTTTTTTGACTTGGTTGATGTCTGATTTCAGGTTATTGATATCATTTCGTCCCATCCTGACCATGACATTATTATTGGGATTAACACTTTGGGGAAAGAAGATCTCTTGCTTCAAATTTCACGCGTGCTTAAAATAAAGGTCTCTTCATAACCATTCTCTTCCGAATAAAATTCAAACAGTCATGCTAATGAGTCCTTATGTAGTTCTATATGGTATGTGACAGTAAAAAAAAAAAAAAACACTCTCCATTAAACCCGACTAGCGAGTGTGGGGTGGAGGAAATCTTTGTACGCAGCTTTATCTTTGCATAATTGCAAAGAAACTGTTTTCTGGATTCGAATCCATGACTTTAATTCCGGTTGCGGTGGCTATCTCGTGTATCCGTATTAGCATTTATGATTTATACCTTAATATCTCTAAATCTCGTATCTTATTAGAATTGAAGCATATGTTCATAACAAGCTTGCTTACCCTGTCATCACTGCATGTTTCACCGGTATATATTATGTCATGTTGATCTCATACAAAATTTTGCATTCCTTTTTTTTTTTTTTCTTCTTTTGCTATACTTTGGAGTTAGCATTCTATTTTTGCTCCCCCTTCTTTACTGGTTCGGTTTTTCACTGCTTCCCCCTTTTTTTTATTGAATTGAAGATTTGGGTGTGGCCGGAGCGCTTGCAGACTATGCATCTTCTTGGTTTCCTAGACATTTTTACAACGAACACGACTCTTACTAGAGTGAGAGCTGTTCCTCAATATAGCTTTAGCATTGAAACATTAGAAGCACTAAATACAATGCGCCCAACTATAGGAATTATGCCTTCAGGTCTTCCATGGGTAAAGAAACCCCTTCAAAAGAGTGAGCTTCTTTCTGGTTCTTTTTTGACATCTCGTTATAAAAGGGGAAGATGGAGTGCAAATAATGAGGTCCAGATTGATAAGCAAATTGGAAATATAGAACCTCTTGAAAAGATTCACCAATATATATATTCAGTTCCCTACTCTGATCACTCAAATTTTGCGGAGATAGAGGATTTTATAAAGCTTGTCCAACCAACCAGCCTGAAGGGCATTGTATCTTCGTCGTCATGCTATATTGAACCAATGTACTATTTTGGTCGACTTTGTCGAGTCAACCAACCAATACAGCAGTTGCATAACACTCATAAAAGGAAAGAAAGTGGTAAAAGAGTAGGTGCGGTCAGCACCAAAACTTCATTTGGAGGTGATAATGCTGAGTCAGATAGAAAAAGAGGCAAGACTTTGAAGGCTAAGTTTTCAGGTGTTCGTGTGAGCAGGTTGAGTATATTGAGAAAAAGGCACCGTGGTGCTAAAATTAAGGAAATTAACAGTCCTGATCATGACTGATAATGCTTGGAAATTAAGTTACATAGCTGATCAAGGATGATGTGCACGCATGAAGTTCAGCACTGCTCTTGATGTCCATGGTGCAAGGTATGATCTACCTACTCCCCAACTCAGCTCCAGAATTTTTAATTGTACATTATAAATCTCTGTTGATAGAAAGGTTAGATGATCATCAACATACACTAGGATGAGCTTTTCTACTCCTCTTGGAATGCAATGTCCATTTGGAAACACCAAGAGATTGGCTTGTGACAACTTTTATCAGGGAACTAAAAACTAATTGTTACTCGAATTTGTCGTACATATATGTTGATAACTTCATGTGGTCTTGTTTTTATCTTGAAGCAAGATTTCTGGTGGTAAAAATGCCTGATGAGCCATTGAACTGATTTTGATTAATGTCGTTCTTCATGACAATGGAATATTTGTGCATCGTAAGCATAATAGCATAAACTATTAATGAACAATGATGTTTCCACTTAGGATAAGCTCCTCTAAACTGACTTTATATCTTAAGTAAGCAAATTAGAGTGTATTTACCATTCATATAATTTAAATTATAGGGGATTTTTATTCGTTAAGATTTAAAGGGGGAAATGCATGTGAACTGGATTTGGTAAACATTTTGGCGAAGGAAAAAGCTCTTCAAAAGGGAGGTAATAACTAATTAGGGTTGACACAATTAAATGAACCTTCGGCTCATATATAATTTGATTTGATTCTTTTTTCGGAGGTTGCACACATAAAAAATGGTTCACTAAATGCAAAATGTAATTTTTTATATATTAGAATTTTTTTTACAAATTATCACCAAACATCTAGATTAACTAGCATATGGTTATTTTAGCTTAATCAGTGGTCTCTAGTTCGAGTCTTGGAGAAATAGTTGTGTTAAAAACTTGATAAAGGAAACTTTGCACCCTTGTGAGTTTGCTCAGTTTGACTAAAATAGTCAAGTAATTGATGAATTCTTAGATGGTAAATGATGTATTAGAAAGTCAAATTTTTTTTAAATGCTTAAATGTTTATTAAAGCTTTCAAATGGCTAATTTTTCATCTATATTCATGTATACGAGCCTAATTAGTGTATCTAAACACATAATTAATGCAAAATTACAACTACAATCACAATTAGATCATTAAAAGTTTTTTTTTTTTTTTTTTTTTGAGAGAAAGCTCACTAGGCCTCTCATCTATGTGATTCCTTTTGTGATTTTCATTGAATTTGCTCGGGAAAGGAAAGTTTGATTTTTATTTGTGATTGATAAGCAAATAAAATGAACTTTTGGTTCAAGGGAGTAATCCTATAGATATATAGGTTGAGAGGGTGATTAAGATTGATAATACTTTTTGTATAGTGATTCTCAGGCATCGATTGAATTTCTTCTTCAATCTAGATGTAGCTCTCTAGTGTTTTAATAGAGAACCATGTGTTTGATCTTCTCACCCATTATTTTTTAAATACTATATTCTTTATTTTTTATTTTTTTGAATACTTTTGTTTTTGGAGATATTCCAATCGGTTCATTATTTCGTGACTAATCCGATTCAGGGATGGTCTCAGAATTAAGATTTTACACTCCTCTCAAAGACAGTACTGGGAATGATCAAATAAATAATTTTATTTTCACTTGTTCAGTTTTCTAGTGTTAACTGAGCTACCATTGTTTGATTTATATTCTTTATTTATTTTTGGTGTTAATGTTGCATGTTAATATCTGTTTGACTTATTTTTATCATTCCATTGTGTTTCTTGATCATAAAAAAAAAAGTTTCTAGACAAAACCTTAATTTTTTTGATTTCTTGAAAAGAAAGTAACCCTAATTCATAAGACGGGAAGTCATTCTCGCCTGATATAGATCAAGTTGATTAGCATCAAAATAAAATAAAATAATACAATAGGACGCTTTTCAACTCTTGAAAACTATGGAGTTTATCCTTGCTGCAGAAATATCTACAGAGCGAAGGCGAACATCCAAACATAATAGAAGAGCCATTCCCTTTCCCATTGACCTTATCTTAGCTTTGGATGATCTGCGTGTCATGCTTACGTGATCATGATTCATCGAAGTCGTGTATTGATCATGATTCATTTCATATGAAACGGGATATTGATAGTGAACAAAAATAAATAAATGAAAATATCGTTATTTGACTTATGAGCGAATTGTTGGACTAGACCACTACAGTGTTTGTCGAATCGTCATGAAATGAACCAAAAGCAACGACGCTATTGCAAATTAATTATTTTTCATTTTTATTTTTAACAAATGAAATACATCACCTCTACTAGTCATTTGCCAAGTTTCGTCAAATCTATGTTGTCACGAAGCAAAGAATTCATCTATTAATGAGAGAAAAATAATAAATTCAAAATGTGCGTACATAAGTACATTACGGTCAAATGGTCCCATATAATAAATTGTAGATGGAGAGAAACGTGTTAACAATAGAATGATATATATATATATATAGGGTCAGGATCATTTTACACCAGTGTAAGTTACACTCTCAATCTTGTCTATTGATCCCATTTATATCTAAGGGCTCAAACTTTTTAGTAATGTGAACCATTAGATACAAGTGGATCAATGGTCAAGATTGAGTGTAAGACTTCTAACTCTTACACCGGTGTAAGAATATTCTACCCCATATATATAGATTTTTATAAGAGTTATGTTGTAAGAAAGTGATTGTGTAATATTATAGAAATTCGTTTTGCATGCCTTAACTTTTTTAATTTTTTTTTGTTTTAAAAAGTATGGGTCCCACAAAATATTAAGTGTGTAAGAAATTTGATGGTGTCATGTTAAAGGACAAACTACAATCCCATATATATATATATATATATATATATATATATATGCACCAAAGTTCACGGCATAACCTTTGCTACAATGCTACATTTTCGGGCTAAAGAGCCCCATAGTCAATTCCAAAACTCTTTGTTGACTTTGATAATCAGAATAGAACAAAAACGAAAACAGAAGCCATTAACATCGTTATTCAGACACGACCAGGTCATAGCTCTGACCTGTTCTTCCATTCCTTCTCTCTCATTCTTCACCCCAACAAACACATAATATCAAGCTTCTCTAAGGAAGTTGCATAGTGGAGCCAAGCCATGGAAAACATGAAGAAGAAACCATGTTTATGGCTTTCTCTCCTCATAATCTGCTTCTTTTTTCACACCTACACATCCCTTGCTGCTTTGACCAGCATCTCAGCAAATCAATCTCTTTCCGGTGATCAAACTCTTGTCTCAACAGATGGGAACTTTGAATTGGGTTTCTTCAATCAAGGTAATTCCTCTAACTACTACATAGGCATGTGGTACAAAAAGGTATCTGTAAGAACATATGTTTGGGTAGCAAATAGAGATAACGCAGTTTCTGATAAGAATTCTGCCATGTTAACAATATCGCGTGGTAATTTAGTTATTTTGGACCAGTCTCAAAATCTAGTTTGGTCAACAAATTTGAGTTCTCCTAGCTCAGGTTTTGTAGTAGCTACCCTTCTAGGTACTGGGAATCTTATATTAAGTGATAAGCCTAATGCATCAGAATCAGATGCACTGTGGCAGAGTTTTGATCATCCAACAAATACATTTCTTCCAGGTGGCAAACTAAGATTGGATAAAAGAACAAATAAGCCTCAATATCTCACTTCCTGGAAGAACAGTGATAGTCCTGCAACAGGCCTATTTTCGCTGGAACTAGATCCCAAAGGAACCGATTCATATCTGATTCTTTGGAATAAATCTCAAGAGTATTGGACAAGTGGTAGTTGGAATGGACAGATTTTCAACTTGGTTCCTGAAATGAGGTTAAACTATATCTACAATTTCAGCTTTCAGTCGAACGAGAATGAGAGCTACTTCACATATTCATTGTATAACAATTCTATTATATCTCGTTTTGTGATGGATGTCTCGGGGCAGATCAAGCAATTCACTTGGCTGGAAAATACTCAGAATTGGAATTTGTTCTGGTCACAGCCAAGACAACAATGCGAGGTTTATGCTCTTTGTGGAGCATTTGGGAGCTGCAATGAGAACTCAGAGCCATATTGTAATTGTTTAACTGGCTATGAGCCAAGGTCACAATCTGATTGGGATTTGGAGGATTACTCAGGTGGGTGTGTGAGAAAAACCAAGTTTCAATGTCAGACATCGAATCCCTCTAATGGGGCCAAGGATAGGTTCCTACCAATACCTAACATGGCATTGCCTAAAAATGCAGAATCTGTGGGAGCAGGGAATGCTGGCGAATGCGAGTCAACTTGCTTGAGCAATTGTTCCTGCACTGCATATGCTTATGATGGTAACGGGTGTTCAATTTGGATTGAAGATCTTTTGAATCTGCAACAGCTTGCTCAAGATGATAGTAGCGGAGAGACTTTGTTTCTGAAACTTGCACCATCTGAGTTTCATGCTAAGAGCAATAAGGGGACAATCATTGGTGTTGTTGCTGGTACGGTTGGTGGCTTAGTTGTTCTCTTAGTCATTGTTCTATTTGTCATGCTGAGGCGAAGAAAAAGACAAGTTGGAACAGGAACATCTGTGGAGGGCTCATTGGTGGCATTTGGGTACAGAGATTTGCAAAATGCTACAAAGAATTTCTCAGAGAAATTGGGAGGAGGAGGTTTTGGTTCTGTCTTCAAAGGAACGTTGCCTGATTCAAGTGTCATAGCAGTGAAGAAGCTCGAAAGCATTAGCCACGGTGAGAAGCAGTTCAGAACAGAAGTGAGTACAATTGGGACAGTCCAACATGTCAACCTTGTTAGGCTTCGAGGGTTCTGTTCCGAAGGTGACAAGAAACTGCTTGTTTATGATTACTTGCCAAATGGTTCCTTGGATTCCAAACTTTTTCAAGAAAAGAATTCCAATGTGTTGGATTGGAAAATAAGATACCAAATTGCTCTGGGAACAGCTAGGGGATTGAATTATCTCCACGAGAAGTGTAGAGATTGTATCATACACTGTGATGTGAAGCCGGAAAACATTCTCCTAGATGCTGATTTCTGTCCAAAGGTTGCAGACTTTGGCCTTGCAAAGCTGGTTGGAAGAGACTTCAGCAGGGTCCTCACTACCATGAGAGGAACAAGAGGTTATCTTGCCCCCGAGTTGATTTCAGGAGTCGCTATCACTGCCAA